GGCCGGGCCGGGCGGCCTCTCGCGGGGCCCCGAGCGCGGCGGAGCGCCCGGGCCCTGGCTTCCCCGCGCGGCTTTCATCCCTCGGCCCTCCCCGGGCCTTGCAATGAGGGCAGCGAGCAAGGGGGTCCCCTGCCCCGCGGCAGAGCAGCGCGGGGCTAATGTGTGCTCTTGCCCCGTCGGCCAGGGAACGAGACGAGCCCGGAGAGCTTCCTCTTGCACAACGCCCTGGCCAGGAAGCCCAAGCGCATCCGCACCGCCTTCTCGCCGTCCCAGCTCCTGCGGCTGGAACATGCCTTCGAGAAGAACCATTATGTGGTGGGAGCGGAGAGGAAGCAGCTGGCGCACAGCCTCAGCCTCACGGAAACTCAGGTGAGAGGAGACGTCGGGGCCAGGCGGCCTGCAGCGCCCGTCGGTTCGCCCCGCCGCCCCCGGGGAGGCCTGGCCTGAAGCAGGAGGCTCCTGGGGCGCGGTGGGGCTGAGCTGCGTGAGGATTGTCCCCGCAGCGGCTCGGGCTGGGGCTGCCCGGGCTGTTGCGGGTTAGTCTGGTGCCGGCGCGTGTTGCGCGTGTGTCTGCTCGGCCCCGGATGGATTATATTTAGCGCGAGGGTTTCTGCGCTGGGCTTCTCCGGAGCTGCATGTCTCCTTCTCCTTGCTGTGGGTGTAGGGTTTGGCTTACATATTTTTCCTCCTCCCTGCCTGAGGGACGTGTCCCTGCTACAGTATGTGGCACTGTACGGGGGGGTGGGGGGAATAACTCCCAGCCGCAGCCTGGTTCAAAGTTCTCCGTAAACAGATGGGATTAAGTTGTAACCCTTTCCCCCCCCCCCCCTCTTTTCGGGGGGAAGCAATAAAGAGGTTGGGGCTTTTGTTTTAAAATGTCTGGCTAACAAAACAAGACAAAGGGATCGCCACTTTTATGAGGTTCTCGGAACAAGGGACCGGTCACAGGCTTATTTCCAGTGGCAAAGCTGTATTTAAGGTGGTCTTTGTCCCGTCTGATTCCGAAGCTGCTTGGGGTCTTTTGTCCAGATGTCAAACCCCCGGTTCCCTACAAACGAGCTCGCTTTGGGGAGATCAGCGGGCAGAAATGAACCGTCCTCCCCTTCAATTAGCAAACTAAAAGCAAATTAAACTCACCCCTTGTTCCCCGCTCAGCTTTTTAATGGGGGACTTTAGGAGAATATGAAAATGCGGCGGAGCTGTGTGTCTGGCACCGCCGCGCTCTCTTCTGAAGAGGCAGCGAAGCGGGTTAAACCAGCTTATTAAAATGCTCCCGTTCCCCTTTCCCCCCCTCGCTGGGGCCTTTATCAGGCACTTTCAGACAGAACCGGAGTTTAAACTGCTTTAAAAAAAAAAAAGAAAAGAAAAAGAAAAAGGACCCGTGTTTACCTTTGGCCGCTCCGAGGAGTGTGGCCAGCTCTCGAGATAACTTCGGGATCAATACTATCTGTAATTAAACGACTCCAGTAATCTGGGCTCTGGTTAAGTCAGATTTATTCGACTCTGAGCAAATTCAGAGAGGCATTTTCTGCGGCACTGGGAGGGTTTTTGCCTGAGCGGGATCGCTCGCGGGCACCCCTGCGGGAAGTGCTGCGGGCACTTCGTTTTGGGGAGGAGGATTTCTCCCAAGGAAACCGGGCAAAGATGCCGTCTCTCCCCCTTGGCCCCTCTTGGAAAAGGGGAGGCCCCAGCCGGGCTGCAAAGGAGCTTATTCAAAGGACAAAATAAAACAAAACGCCGAAATCTTCGTTTTTGAAGCACTTTCGCTTTCACACGCGCAGGGAGCGGTGGGTGCGCCTGGCCCGGTGCGGGACCCCCGACACGCGGGGAAAGGTCCCGCGGCACAAACGCGGGGCGGGCGCCCACGGCTGCGGCTGGTTTGCGG